ATTGTTTGAATTAAGTTGGGCTCGAGTTGGCCTCTTTCCATTTTCAGGGGTTGAAGTAGGGAAGTAAATAATAGATATTTCAGGGCTTTGATGGAGAAAGTAGAAAGTCTAGGCTCTGGGGAAGGGCAGGTTCTAATTCGAATGGTTTGTTTGTTTGTTTACTTTGTTTATGTCGGCTTTTTCTCCTTCATTTTCACGCCAGATCCCAGGACAGTGTAAACGCAACTCTGACCTTAAAGAGATTAACATTCCAGCCAGCCATGTTAGTGCCACAGACAGACCTCTAATGTCCTCTCCTTGGTCTGTGTCAGAGCTTCGTGTGTCTCCTCCCTCCGTGTCTAGGACTTTGGGGTGTGTTTGTGTGTGAGAGAGCCTCAGCCCGCTTTGTATAAGATATCCCGCGTTGACCGACCACGTCCAACGTTGGGCATGTTGCGTCTCCACAGCTTGGATGAGCCACAATGGCCTCGATTGTCAAGACCTGATTGAGTTAATATCATAGCAGTGAATCCGACCGCCAAAGGCATCGGTGGCTCCTTCTTTGTGTTTCGCAACCAGAGCAGATTACACATTTTAATGAACCGAAAATGTTTGGTATACAAAATCATGCTTATTTCAGTATTAGCAAAAACACAAGAATTTTTGCAACACAAACACCCAGCTGTGTCTATTTTAAAAACAGTTCAATGACAGCTTGCACTTATGAGCATGCAATCAGCTTAATTTCGCTTTTTTTCCTCCTTCTGTGTTAATCAACACTTTCCTTCCTGCAGAGCCTATAGGATCGTGGCTCCCGCATCAGGAAATGTTTACCTCAGCGATCCTTTTCCCTCCCCAGATTTCCCAATTGGGGAAGGAAAAGGCCCGCCCAGAGAGAACCGAAAGGGTCAAGTAGCAAGAAATGAATTATTAATAGTAATAATAATAGTAATAGTAATAATAATCATACAATAATGATGATGATGGTGATGATGATGATGATAATATAAAACTTTATTTCCAGGCCACCCTAATAATAATAATAATAATAATAATAATAATAATAATAATAATAACAATTGTAGCAACAGCAGCAGCAGCCACAACTACTCCACGCTCCACACTTAGGACTCTTCCACACAGCCCCATATCCCAGAATTTCAATGCAGAAAATCCCACATTATCTGAGTGTGGACTCAGATAACCCAGTTCAAATCAGATATTGTGTGATTTTCTGCCTTGATATTCTGGGATATGGGGCTGTCTGGAAGGGCCCTTAGTCTCAAAACATGTTCGAATTTGGCGAGAAAAGTCATCAATAATATTCGAAGGATCAAAACTATTTTTAAAAATACTTTAGACAAAAACTTGCATATTTGGGACTTGTATAAGGAAATGTGCTCATTGCTTCTGATCCTATTTATGCTCCCCTTTCAGTATTTTACAAATATTTTGGAGGGAAACCGGTATATTTGAGGTTCAAAGGGAAGGATGAAAGTAATAAAAAAGATCAGAAGCAACATTTCCCCCTGAACCCCAAATATATAGGTTTTCCTCAAAAATATTTGTAAAATACCGATTTGGGGGGGGGGGGGGGCATAAAGAGGATCAGAAGCAATGACCATGTTTTCCTACATAAGTCCCAAATATGCAAGTTTTGGTCTATTTGGAGTTCGAGGGGAGATGTTTATTGCTTATGATCCCCTTTATGGCTCTAATCCCCCCCCCCCCCCGCAGTCCTTTAAAATATTTTGTAAACAATTCCTGCATATTTCAGGTCCAAGAGAAGATAGTTGCTGCTCCTGATTCCTTTTATGCCTCTCACCCTCCCCTCTCTTCCCAACCCAACCACCCTTTTGCGAGACTGTGCGCCATATCACACACACACAAATATATAATGCGCTCAGACAAGGTCATTTGAGGTTACCCAATCCACGGAGTTCACGGCTTCCCCCAATCGCGCGTGGTCTTCCTCTCCCTTCCATCACACAGAAAGTTCACGCTGATTTGCTGTTTTCTTTTCTTGTCTTCAGAACAGGGATCTCAGTATTCTCCCCGTATTTCTCTTCCTCCTTTTTTTCCACCGTCCATCATTTCACGACCCCCCTTGGTTTGATTCCCCCCCCCCCCCTCCGTTTCCTTTCCAAAGCAGCGAGGATGCCGCGCTGGGGAGAGAAAAGCGCTGACAGCTTTCCTTTAACTTTGATCCGGATCTTCTTCTCCTCGCCTCTACACGCCCACCCCGGGTGACATATTGCGCTCTGGTTTTAGAAAGGCTTATTTCTCTCTCCCCCCCCCTTTCCCCCCCCTCTCCTTTCTGCCTGTCTCGTGCAGGTGGGAAGGGCAGGATTTGATCCGGATGATTAACACTGAACTCCCTGCTCAAGGAAATTAGGCTGGTCCCATCTTTCCATTCCGAGGAGCTTAAACCACATGGGGGGGGGGGGGATCGCCTGGGTGACAAAAGCAGATCGCTGATCCACTTTAGCCTGCTACCCCCCCACCCACCCCCCCCCCACCCACCCACCCCCACCAAGAATCCTCCCCACGCAATTTGCACCACAAACAATGTTTTAGAAACTAAAATAGATTTATTTTTCCTCTTTTTTATTTTTTAAAAGTGTGATATATAGTCAACTATATATCAAAAGACTGGAAATGCGTGCTCTGGCCCACAAAGGGAGAGAAACTCACTATGTATATGTATATATATGTGTGTATGTATTGTGTGTGTGTGTGTGTGTATAGATAGATATATCTGTTCCCTGCTACGCGGTTCTGTGGCCCAGTCTGAGTATATGTGTTTTGTGTTTATATGTGTATATATTTGTATATATGTGTGTTTGCGTATATATGTGGTTTTGCGCATGCGTTGTAATGTTGTTGTTGATGGTTTGTTTTTGTTTTTGCTTTTTAAGTCTTTTCCGCTGCGTTCTTCAGTGTTTTTCAGAGTGATGGTCACTCGTTGGCCTGATAGGTGTCTTGTGTCCAAATTTGGTGTCAATTCGTCCAGTGGTTTTTGAGTTATGTTAATCCCACAAACGAACATTACATTTTTATTTATATAGACTTATGTGTGTATGTATTATGTCTATGTGTGTGTGTATCTGTATATGTATATATGTATACACACATATCATATCTAAGAGAAGTATCTCATTCCGATCATCATCAGCACCATCATCATAATAGAATCATAGAACCATAGAGTTGGAAGAGACCTCGTGAGCCATCTAATCCAACCTACTGCCAAGAAGCAGGATCTTCACTCTCTGTATGTATGTGTGTGTGTGTATGTATACACACACACACACACACCTTATCTCCCTATCTATATATGGAAGAGACACCTCCAATCCCATCATCTTTCTCTCTCTCGATACACACGCGCACACATCTCTACATCTATATTTGTGAGTAAATGCTTGTATGTCTTTCTCGCCGAGTTTGTGTGTGTATATATATATAAATACACGCACACATACATACATACATACACATGCATACATATCTTATCTAACTATCTCTTTATTTCTCTTTATTTCTCTTTGAAAGAGAGGTACCCATCATCAATATTGTGTGGCTGATGACAACAAGATTCATTCTTTCTCTCTGGCCCGTGGCATGCATTTCCCGCGAGCAATACTTATATTTTCACATATAGCCAACTATATTTATGATAGCACATATTTATCAACACGTATATACAAAGGCATGCATATGAAGTTTGCAAAAGTACTTCCCTCGCTGTTCCAAGCACGCCTTGCTCCCAAGCAAACCCTGGGCAGGATCCTCTCTTCAAACTATTTCCCGCCACGAAAAGAAGCCTAGCGTTAGTGGGTCCTCTCGGTCGCCGAGGCCAGGCCAAACCTGTAAAGCAGCCTGAGAATAGATCCATTCCCGACCTCGAAAGAGATCCCCGGGTTCAGAAAAAATGTCAAGCAGAGGTCAGATGTTGGGGAAAGGGGGGAGGGGGCGGGGGAAGCAACAACAATCCCAAGAGGGACAAAAAACCCGGGAAGAAAGAATAGAAAGGGTTACAAAACAGAGAGGATGGGAATTATTACCTCGTGTTTATTCCGGATTATTATTATTGTTATAATCATCATCATCATTATTATTATTATTATTATTATTATTATTATTATTATTAAAAACCTCACCCCTTCCTCCGCAACCCCCTCCCTTCCAGGCCAAATAGGAACGCCCCGTTCCTCCGCCAATGCCTTCTTCGGAGGCGGTTCGGCTTCGGCGCTGGCTGCCCATCCATAGTTCCGCTTCCAAGTCAAGGGGGCGCCGAGGGGTTGCCGCCAGCGCCCTCCCTCAGCCCAGGCTTCTCTCTCCCTCTCTCCCCTCCCCCGCCTCTCACCCCTTTGGATCATTCCACCGCCTCCTCCTTCCGCTATTTCAGAGGCCAACAGGACCCCACCATTGCCAAAAAAGGGGGGTGGGGTGGTTTCTTTTATCCCTCCTCCTCTGCCATGCACTTGCCCCTCCTTCCTCCCTTCCCTCCTTTCGACTTTCCTTTTAGAAAAAAGAAGATCCCAAGCAGTCGAAAGAGCCGGCGCGAGGAAGGCCTGACAAGCTTGTAGTGCTGCAAAATAGTCCTCGCTTTCCCTCAGCCACCATTTCCTTTCCTCCTCCTCTTCTTCCTCCTCCTCTCCTCATTCTCTCTTCAAATAAACACACAGGGAAAGTTTATTATTTTATAAATATATACACAGCGAGAGAGAGGGGTAGAGAGAGAGAGGGAGAGAAGGGGGGAGAGAAAGGGAGGGAGGGAGAGAAGGAGAGAGAGGGAGGGAGGAAAAGAGAAAGAGGGGGAGAGGGGAGAGAGGGGGAGAGAAAGAAGGGGAGAGGAGGAAAGAGAGAGAAAGAGGGAGAGAGAGGAAGGGAGAGAGGGAAGAAGAGAGAGGAGAGAGGGGGAGAGAGAGAATGAGCGAGAAGGAGAGGCGGGGAGAGAGGGAAGGAGAGAGGGGGCGGGAGGGAGACGAAGAGAAGGCGAGAGAGAGAGAGAGAGAGAGAGAGAGAAAGGACAGAAAGAGAGAGGGGGAAGAGGAGGAGAGACGGAGAGGTATTCCACATCGTTGATTATAGAGGAGGGGGCTCTTTTACGCTGTTTGCCAAAGTGTAGATTCATATACACATATATGTATGTATGTATGTATGTATGTATGTATGTATAATAAGGGAAGGGGGTGTGGATTGGAGGGAAGTGAGTACAAGTAGTCTCCCGCCGCGCGGTGATGCGCCTTCCCCCTTCGGTATCCCTGCGCCCTCCCGCGAAGGGTGAAAGGAAAGAGAGAGAGAGAGAGAGAGAGGCAGGGAGCGCGCGCCAACGAGGAGGAAGAGGAGGAGACCAAGCGCCGCTCTGATTGGGCGCCCGGAAGGGAGACGTCCCCGGACGCCGCTCGCTCTGATTGGACAACCGGTGGGAAAAGGTTAAACCAAAAAAAAAAAGAGAGAGAGAGAAATATTTTTTACAGCCCTAGTGTGTGTGTCTAGAGCTGGGAAATTAATTGTCGCGAAAAGCTGTCTCCGCTGCTCGGAGCCGCTGCTGGGGCTGCTGATTTGCCCCCCTTTTGAAAAAAAAAACCCACCATGAAGTAGAGAGAGAGAGAGAGGGAGTTCCTAATTTATTATTTATTTTTTTAAGGAGCCACATTTTCTTGTCCTTTGGAAACATCTCCCCCTTTTAGCTCCCCCCCCCTTTCTTTTGGAAGGGGGGCATTTTTTTAACGTGGTTACCCCTCTCCCCCTACTTCCCTCCCTCCCTTTCTCCTTCTCCCCATCCTCCCCTCCCCTTCCTCCTGTTTTGCCTTTTGGCTCTCCCTCTCTCTCCCTTTTGCTTTGCCGGCTCCCTCTTGTCTTTCCCGTCCTCCCTTCCTCAGCTCCGGTCTTTTGCTACATGCCTCCTCGCCAAGCTCTGGAGCTGCTGGTCCAAGCGCCTGGCTACGGCTGCTGCTGCTGCTGCTTTTCCCTGGACTCAGCAGCCTCCCCAACCAGCACCAGCACCAGCCTCTCCTCCTCCTCTTCCTCCACCACCACCAGCAGCTCTTCTTGCTCTTCCTCCCAGCCGGGCCCCTTCCCCCCGCCGCCTCGCCTGGGGGATGTTGGACATGGGCGATAGGAAGGAAGTCAAGATGCTGCCCAAGTCCTCCTTCAGCATCAACAGCCTGGTGCCCGAAGCCGTGCAGAACGACAACGGGAGCAGCAGCAGCGGCGGCAGCAACCACGGGCACCAGCACCACCACAACAACAACCACCACCCGCACCACCACCACCACCATCACCACCACCACCACATCCACCACCAGCAGCAGCAGCAGCAAGCCTCCCAGCGAGGGGCCCCGGCGGAGGAGGACGAGGAGGAGGACAAGGGCCAGCTCTTGCTCCAGCCGCCCGGGGTCGGCGTGGCCAGTTCCGCAGAAGCGCCGGCCGTGGTGGGCAAAGGCGACCCGGCCTCCGACCTCGAAGGGGAGAAGGAGAAGGGCTCCCCGGAGGAGAAGAAGGGCTCTCCGGACGGGGCCAAGGAGGGCGACGGAGGCGGGGGCGGAGGGGGCGGCAAGGAGGGCGAGAAGAAGAACGGCAAGTACGAGAAGCCGCCCTTCAGCTACAACGCGCTGATCATGATGGCCATCCGGCAGAGCCCCGAGAAGCGCCTCACCCTCAACGGCATCTACGAGTTCATCATGAAGAACTTCCCTTACTACCGGGAGAACAAGCAGGGCTGGCAGAACTCCATCCGCCACAACCTCTCGCTCAACAAGTGCTTCGTGAAGGTGCCCCGGCACTACGACGACCCGGGCAAGGGCAACTACTGGATGCTGGACCCTTCCAGCGACGACGTCTTCATCGGGGGCACCACGGGGAAGCTGCGGAGGCGCTCCACCACCTCGCGGGCCAAGCTGGCCTTCAAGCGGGGCGCCCGGCTCACCTCCACGGGCCTGACCTTCATGGACCGGGCGGGCTCCTTGTACTGGCCCATGTCGCCCTTCCTCTCGCTGCACCACCCGCGGGCCGGGGGCGCGCTGGGCTACAACGGCGCCGCCTCGGCCTACCCGAGCCACCCCATGCCCTACAGCTCGGTCCTGGCGCAGAACTCCTTGAGCAACCAGCACTCCTTCGCGCCCTCCAACGGGCTGAGCGTGGACCGGCTGGTCAACGGCGAGCTGCCCTACGCCACGCACCACCTCACGGCCGCCGCCGCCCTGGCCGCCTCGGTGCCCTGCGGCCTGTCGGTGCCCTGCTCGGGCGCCACGTACTCCCTCAACCCCTGCTCGGTCAACCTGCTGGCCGCCGGACAGACCAGTTACTTTTTCCCCCACGTCCCGCACCCTTCCATGAGCTCCTCCTCCTCCTCGCAGAGCAGCAGCAGCGCCTCCCTGGCGGCCGTGGGCCGGGCCGCCTCGGCCTCCAGCTCGCCCCAGGCGCCCTCCTCGGCCTCGGGCCCTCTCTCCTGCGAGGCGCTCCGGCCCGCCTTGCCGCCGGCCTTCTCCACGGGACTCTCGGGCGGACTCTCCGACTACTTCACGCACCAGAACCAGGGCGCTTCCTCCAACCCGCTCATCCATTAACCCTTCCCCCCCCACCATCCACCCTCCCCTCCCTCCCTTCCTTCCAGCGGGGCCCAGGCCCGGGACTTGTAAGTTTGGAACGTTTTACACACCTCTTCATTTCCCGCCTTGTAAGTAAACAAACAAATAATAATAATAATAATAATTAAAAAAACATGCGAATTGGGACGAGAGCGAGCGAGCGACTGAGCGAGAGAGCGAGCGAGAGAGCGCGAGGCCATATCTATATCTATCTAGAAAACAAAAACCGACAACAAAAAAGAACAAAACCGAAAGAAAAGACAAAAAAAAAAGAAACTCTCCCAGGAAAACAAAAAAAAATGGGGAAAAAACAATAAGAGTCCAGGTATTGTTTCTTCAGTTTCCCTCCTTGCCTTCCTCCTTTCTCCTCTTTTTTATTTTTTTTCTGTACGTTTGTTCAGTCTCTTTCAAGGTGGTTTATGATTCCCAACAAAAGAGATGCTGGATTTATTCTGCCATACAATGGAGGGCCCTTCCACACAGCCATATAATTCAGAATATCAAGGCAGAACATCCCACAATGTCTGCTTTGAACTGGTTTATCTGAGTCCACACTGCCATATATTCCAGTTCAAAGCAGAAAATATGGGATTTTATTAAGCTGTGTGGAAGGACCCTGAGTTTGAACTGCATTGTAGCATCAGTGTAGACTCATATACAGTCCTAACTGCATTGTATGGATCTACATTGACCTGATAATGCAGTTTGGGCCCATATTATGCAGTTATATCAGTCTACATAGTTTAGCAAGGTGCAAGTTGCATGATATGGGTCCATTCTGTGGGTCTATACAATTCCATACAGTTCAAACTGTATTACATGGCTTTATTTTGGCCACACAATGCAGTTTGGGCCCATATAATGCAGTTATATTAGTCTACAGAGTTCAGCAAGGTTCAAGCTGCATGATATGGGTCCACACTGACTATATAATTCAGTCTGTACCCATATCATGCAGCGAACTGCATTCTGTGAGTCTACACAATTCCATACTGTTTGAACTGTATTACATGGCTTTACATTGGCCACATAATACAGTTTGGACCCATATAATATATGGGTTATATCAGTCTACACAGTTCAGCAGGGTTGAAGCTGCATTTTCTTTCGTGCAAGAGCGACTTGAGAATCTTCAAGTCACTTCTGGTGCATGATATGACTCTACATTGACCATGTATTTCAGTCTGTACAACTATCATGCAGTGAATTGCATTCTGTGAGTCTACACATTTCCATACAGTTCGGACTGTATTACATGGCTTTGCCTTGGCCACAGAATGCAGTTTGGACCCATATAATGCAGTTGAACTGCGCTGAGTTGCATTATATAGGCCTACACAGTTCAAACTGCATGATATGAGACTCCACTGACCATAATGCAGTCCCAACAGCATTATTTGACATTGTTGATCCAGCCAGTGAGGCGAGTCTCCAGTGTGGGAAGATGGGGAGAAGATATATTGTAAACGGTGCAGTTGAGAAAGGGAGGAAAACCAAAAGAATACAGGTCTAGTCGAAGGTGTATCGAAAAGAGTGACTGCTCTTTTTTTCTTCTTTCTTTGCCGTTTTTTGTCTCCGCTACTGACTTGCCACGCCGCCAGATTTGCCATGTTTTCAGTATTATTAAGTTATCATGGATCTGTTGGTGGGTGCAGACAATGAAAAAGAATAATAATAAAAATAAAAAATATGACTTGATGAATGGCACGATTCAAATTGTCATTTGTGTGGAAGCAAAACAATTAGACAGAGAAGCCCAAAAGCAACATTTTTTGGCCGTGGATTCATTCTTTTGTCCTCCACTTTTGGAAAGAAGTAGTTTTCTTTTTTCTTTTTTTTCTTTCTCGCTTCCCTTCCCCGCCTTCTATTTTCTCCTTATTTCCTTTTTGTTTCCTTTTAGACCAAAGATTGGGTTTTTAGCAAATGCATTCCTTGTACTCAATGGTCCCCCCATCCTTTTAAAACAGTCCAAAACAAAGCCTTTCAGTTTGGCAACACTGCCCATTCAAATGAATCCAAGGGGACTAAAATAATAATAATTAATAATAATAATAATAATAATAATCATGAATTGCCTTCAGTTTGTGTTGTGTATATTTTGATGTATGTGGTCACTAACAGGTCACTTTTATTTTTTAATTTTTAAATGTAGTGAAATGTTTATACCTATTGTACTTATAGGTCAACCTTGCAAATATGTAACCTGTGTTGCGCAAATGCCGCATTAAATTTGAGTGATTGTTAATGTCGTCTTTTAAAAAAAATACCTTGATTGTGATACTGTGGTCATATGCCCGTGTTTGTCACTTACAAAAAATGTTTACTATGAACACACAGAAATAAAAAAAATAGGCTAAATTCATACATACTCGCTAGTTCTTTTGTCTCTTTTGTCAGGACGTTGGGACCTCCAAAGTATTTTAAACCCCTACTAAAGCGAAGCGAGTGTGTAGTTTTAAGGCCCTCTTCTCTTTCCGTTGCTAGTCTGTTTTGCCTTGATAATACATGGAGAAGAATTAGAAAAGAAGAACCGGATGTAAGCGCTTAGAAGGGTCTGAGAGTCCTTCCACACAGCCCTATATCCCAGAATATCAAGGCAGATAATCCCACATGATCTGAGTGTGGACTCAGATAACCCAGTTCAAAGCATATATTGTAGGATTTTCTGCCTTGATATTCTGGGGTATAGGGCTGTGTGGAAGGGCCCAGAGTCACAATCAGCGCCGATGAGACTTTGAAAGATGTCAACTCAATATTTACAGTTTTTACGCAGTGTTTATGGTTCCCAACAAAAGATACTGGATTTATACTGCCATATAATGGAGTCTGAGCTACAGTGTAGACCCATATAAAGTCCAAACTACATTATGGGATCTACATTGACCAGATAATGCAGTTTGGCCCAGTGTAGACGAGGTAGATTTAGCATCTAATGTGTGCCGTGGTTATTTTTGGAAAGGCTTGCTTGCGTTGACGTTAGTGTGTTTGCTTTTCTTTTAATCGGTAGGTAAAAAAAACTAATATGACAAAGGCCACAAAAGAGAGAGAAGCAATTGTCGAAGGCTTTCAGGGCCGGAATCCCTGGGTTGTTGTATGTTTTCCGGGCTGTATGGCCATGTTCCAGAAGCATTCTCTCCTGACGTTTCGCCTGCATCTATGGCAGGCATCCTCAGAGGAGAGAATGCGTCTGGAACATGGCCATACAGCCCGGAAAACACACAGCAACCCAGAGCGAATTGACCTTGCCCTTAAAGGGAAATTAGTCCGGATTGTGGAGGCAGTCTTTAGACAACAGGGAAGTTGAAAAACCCGTGTCTCTCTGTATGTCCGGATGCGTGGAGACGCGTGATCGTGGTGTGCGCGTGTACACAAATGCAGCTTGGTTTCCTTTGCCTCTGAATTGGAGGGGAAAAAAGCAGGTTCTAATGTTACAAATGTAATAATAGTCATAGTAATTAATATTATTAATAATTATTACTATTACTATTAAATAATAATAATAATAATAATAATAATAATAATAATAATAATAATAATAATAATAATGGCTCCTTCCCACTCCACCCACCTTCCTTCCTTCTTTCCCTCCACTTTTTTTCCTTTTGAATATATATATATATGAGGCGGGAGGATAATATTGCCGTGATGTCGTGGTCTCTGTGCCGATTTCCACCTTTAATAACAACCTGCTCTCCCCTGAAATGCATCTCTTTGTAGGTACAGATAGAGGCGAGAAAGGCAGACAGACAGACAGGCCTCCCGTCCTTCTGCGCGCTTGAGTTGAAGCCCGGCAACTTCCTCGGGAATTGGTCTGAATTGGTCTCCGGTGCTGGTCCCGTTTTGTTTCCTTTCTCTGAGGAGAGGGCTTTAGGATCCCCCCACTAGGCCTAGGGAGGGGGGAAAGCGTCCGGTTTGAAAGGCAATCCCAGGCCAAGAAGGGAAGCGATTCTTGCCAATCTCTGGCGGAGGGGGAAGGCCAGCAAAGGAGACTTTGCCTCGGCCGGCTGGAGAAGGCTTTGGCCCAGCTAATTGGATCCTGCCGAGAGTCCGCGGAGGACAAGTTGTTCATTTGTCGCAATTGTGTCGCCTGCGAAGGGTTTGGCGGCCAGGCAACGAGGCTGGCTCTCGCCTCACAATGAGGGGATGAAAAAGTCTCTCTCGCTCGGAGATGTTATCGCCCCGGCGCTTTAAAGACGAGACTCTCCAGAAGAGAGAGAAAGAAAGGAAAGGAAAGGAAAGGAAAGGAAAGGAAAGGGGAGGGAGAAGAGGGTCGAGATGAAACTAGGGATTGGGGGACCGGTGAGGGCGAAAGAGGCGCCATTCAATCCGTAGGGCAAGGCCAAAGTGGCTGGTTGTCCCCCAAAGTGTATATTCTCAAAATGAACTGGAACTAAAGAGAGTAGGAGGGTGTATTGTCGAAGGCTTTCATGGCCGGAATCACTGGGTTGTTGTGAGTTTTCCCGGGCTATATGTTCCAGAAGCATTCTCTCTTGACGTTTTGCCTGCATCTATGGCAGGCATCTTCAGAGTTTGTGAGGTCTGTTGGAAACTAGGAAAATTGGGTTTATATATCTGTGGAAAGTACAGGGTGGGAAAAAGTTTCCAACAGACCTCACGACCTCTGAGGATGCCTGCCATAGATGGAGGCGAAACGTCAGGAGAGAATGCTTCTGGAACATGGCCATACAGCCCGGAAAACTCACAACAACCCCGAGTAGGAGAAATTATAGGAAACTTGAGGTGAACTGTGAGAGAGGTTCTCTCTCTCTCTCTCTCTAAAGTTCTTTGATCGCCATGGCTCAATATGAAGGGATCCTGAGAATTGTAGTTTGGCGAAGCACCAGGGAACTTGGTCAGAGAAAGCCGAAGACCTTGTGAAACGACAGCTCCCAGGATTTTATCTCCTTGAGCCACAGCACGGCCTTTAAAGTGGCCTCAAGCTGTATTCATCCTAAATTGTCGAAGTCTTTCATGGCTGGAATCACTGGGTTGTTGTAGGGT